TTTCCTTTGTGATATTCGCTCACCAAGCTACGCCTCAACTTGCGCCTGGCTATAGTAGCACTGGTAAATATTTATACAAATTGCTTTGCTAGGACCTATTTTTAAACGCTGACTGGATATATAATAAAAGTAATAAAGACAAAACAATGACCCGATCATGGGATTTTCTAAATTATTAAAAAAAATAAAATGTAAGAACAAACAAATGGCTTTAAGAAATAATAAAGCATCTAGGAAAAAAATGCAGCAGAAAAATAAATGCAATATCTTTAAAGGGGAAGTAATAATTTAGTATAGCAAAATTAAAGAACTTCATCTTTGTTAATAAGTGTCCAACTTTTACGACTTTTGGTTTATTATTTTCAATAATGAATCATTGTGATCGACCGAAAAATTCATAAAATTAATCCCCTCTCAAAATTTGAGGTTTCACGTTTCAGGATACGTAGAATTTGAAAAAACGAATGAAAATGTTTTTGGCCGTCTGCCATCCGTGCATTACCTGCAAAACTACAGGACCGATTTTTTTCAAATTTGGATCTAAATTAGAGGTCACCCGAGGATGATCCTCCTTCGTCGACATTACTGTCAGCCTTTTACTTTCAAAATGGCGGCCGAAAAACCTGCGTTGCTATAGACTCTAGCGCCTAAACGAATGTAACGATTTCAATGAAACTTAGCTAAAGTCATTTTCTCGACGCCTTTTAAATTTATCTATATAACATACTTCAACAAAAAGAAGCTGGAAAAAAAGTTACGAGGGATGGTAAAATTAAATTCCGAATAACTCAAAAAGTTTACACTTGTTTGTAGATATTGTGAAAAGATGTTTTAAAGGTATCAGGAGCAAAGATATAGTCTGTAGTTTTTTTTTATATATGTTCTACTGCAAATGTTTTATCTTTTATTTTGGTTTTTAAATTATGAATTTGTTACAGAAGTAATGCTATTATATTTTTATCATATTACTAATGATTAAAAAAAAAGTTTAGTCCAATAATTGGAATCACCTTTTATTTATTATTTTTTGTAACTAGGGAGGTAATGTTACTTTAGATGTATAATTGTTAGGAAATAATAAACCATTGTGAAATAATTTGCTGCGTTTTTTTTTTCTTGTGTTTTCAAAGTAATTCAGTAATCTTTCAGAATAAAAATTGCAAACTTTTTGAGTTATTAGCAACTAAACTTTCTTTTCCTTCATAACTTTTTCCCCAGGGGGATAGGACTATTTTTTGAACGTGAAGTGCGTGAATGTGAAGGAGAAGAATATCTTGAAATTGAGTGGTGAATCATCAGATTTGATGAGGAATTGACGAGGATATGGCGTACCGACAAAAAAAACAGCTTTTAGAAATAGCTAATTGTTTATTAAATTTTGAATTGATCCGCTGTTGTCCTGTCTTTTTGTCTACATTCTGGGAATTGCTGTGTTATGTATGTGTGCGATGTTGTAATGAATTCCTGGCGTTTGATAATTTAAAGAGAGAAACAGGGAAATATTTTTTTTTTTTTTTTTTGTCTTGGGAAAATGTTTATAGTGCTATGTATATTATTTAATATGGTTTTATTGTTGATAACTTGTAAGTGTATTGTTATGAGGGCGAGGAGAAAAAAAAAAGAGAAAGGAAGGAAAGATATGTCATATATATGCATAAAGAATAAAAAAATAAAATATAGAATTAATGTCCGTATGGATTGATAGGTATGCTGTGTACAAAGCAACCCTATGTAGTAGGGCAGCATTACTTTTAATAAAGTATTTCTCTCTCTAGGAGGAGAGGTGGTGAGGGAAGGGGGAAACGAGTACGTCGATTGAAGGGGGTGGGGGAAACTCGAGCACGTCAAATACTTCAAGTATCTGAGAGCCCATTTAAGCGAGAACGGCTGGATAGATGCCGAAATCAGGAAAAGGATAATACTGGCCCGTAAATGCTTCCATTAACTAAAAATAGGCTTCTTAGCAAAGAGAGAAAATGTCAAGAAAACGGTGTATAAAAATACTTTTGTCCCCATACTGACCAACGGAAGTGAATCCTGGACTACAACCTCAAAATATAAAAGCCAAATCCAAGCAATGGAAATTGGTTTCTGAGGAGAATAGAAGAAAAAACTAGGAGGGACAAAATCAGGAATATAACCATCAGGAGCGATTTGGGAATAAAAATAGCAGAAAATACAATAGAGGAGAACAGGCTACGCTGGTTTGGCCATGTCAAAATAATGCAGGAGAGATGAATGCCGAAAGGAAGACCAAGAAAGACCTGGGAAGGATCAGTCATGGAGGATTTCGATATTAGAGGAATGAACACGAATAGATGCAGTCAGTTGGTGCACGAATGAGATAAATGGATGAGGCTCTATAAACAGGATCCTCTACACTGATCTACAATAGAAGAGGAATTAATTAAGAAGAAAAAGAAATATTAGCCTTAAAAAAATTATATATTTCTATTCGCTTTTCTATTAAAAATGTTATTTAAAAAACGCTGCAAATTATTTCACATTGGTTTATTATTTCCAAACAACTATACATCTAAACTAAACATTACCTTCCGAGTTACTAAGAAAAAAAAACAAAAGGTGATTCCAATTATTGGACTAAACAGTTTTTCTTTAATCATTAGTAATATGCTAAAAAAAATAGCATTATTTCAGTAACACAATCAAAATTTAAAACCTGAACCAAGAATATAACATTTGGATTAGAACATATTAACAAAACTGGAGACCATATCTTTGCTCCTAATTGTCCGATTTTAACAATTTTATTAGGAAATTTTGTAAACTTTTAAAAAACTATACAATATCAACAAAGAAGTAAAAACTTTTCGAGTTATTCGTAATTTAATTTTACCATTCCTCGTAACTTTTTTTCCAGCTTTTTTTCGTTGAAGTATGTTATATAGACAAATTTAAAGGGCGACGAGAAAATAACTTTAGCGAAGTTTCATTGAAATCTGTACATTCGTTTAGGAGCTACAGTCTATAGCAACGCAGGTTTTTCGGCCGCCATTTTGAAAGTTAAAGGCGGAGACTAATGCCGATGAAGGAGGATCATCCTCGGGTGACCTCTGATTTCATATCAAAATTTGATAATAAATCGGTCCTGTAGTTTCGAAGAAAATGCGCGGACGGACAAAAAAATTGTTATTCGTTTTTCGAATTCTACGCATCTTGAAACGTGGAACCTCAAATTTTGAGAGGGGATTATGTTTTTGAATTTTTTGGTCGATCACAATGGTTGATTATTGAAAATAATAAACCAAAAGTATCAATACAGTATAATTGAATTATACTAATTGAAATCTCATTGTATACGAATGTATGATCATTTTACTGTACGATAGAAATGTCCATCAGTGAGAGAAAAGTTAGCAAGACTAATTTATACACAATTATAATCGTAAATTTTATTACTTTGTGAAAATGGACCAAAAATGTACACAATTAATAATATATATACATATATCTATATAATGCCTACCAATGCGGATTTAGAAGGAATCGTTCGACTATTGATCAAATATTTTCTTTACGGCAAATACAGGAGAAAAAAATAGAGTACAACGGTGTTGTTCATCAGCTGTATATCGATTTCAAAAAGGCTACGAATCTATTGACTGCCAGAAACTGTATAATATTGTAATTGAGGAGGGGATTTCAAAGATATAATAAATTTAGTCAAGGTGTGCTTGACGGAAACACTCAGTAAAGTTAGAATTGGGAATAATTTATCCAAAAAGTTTGAATTTCGTTCGGGTTTAAAAAAGGGTGATTCCCTTTCACCTGTCCTGTTACATTTGTTAATAGAACATGCCATTAGGGAGGTAATGCGTACCGAAGAAGGGTTGGATCTGGGTGGGACAACATCCGTGCTGGGCTATGCTGATGATCTGGTACTGTTGAGCAAAGACGTTGAAACTATAAAACTAAATAGAACAACGTCAATGAAAGCCGGTAAAGAACTAGGACTCGAAATAAACGTGGATAAAACAAAATATATGGTTAGCTGCAAAAATGGCGATACTACTGGTGATATCGATATAGATGGTAATATGTTTGAACAGGTAGATAAGTTTAGGTATGTAGGTTCTACAATAACTAGAAAAGACGAAATTGAAGAAGAGATTAAGGTTAGACTGAAGGCGGGAAATGCTTGTTATTTTTCTGTGACAAAACTACTTAGTTCGCGCCTCTTGTCCCGGAACTTAAAAACTAGAATCTATAAAACCATTATCCTGTCTACAGTTCTTTATGGATGCGAAACATGGCCGCATACATTAAGAGATGAGCAACGTCTCCAGGTTTTGAAAATAAAGTATTTCGTAGAATATTCGGACCGAAGAAAGATGAGTTAACCGGAGAGTTCAGAAGATTGCACAACGCCGAGTTGCGTGAACTGTATCCAGTTAGTTAACTGAGGTGATTACATCGCGGAGATTCAAATGGGCTTGTAAAATAGTTGGGCTTAGTAACGAAAATATTCCTAAAAGGTTGATATTTGCTGTACCGAATGATAAACGTCTGAGAGGTGGGAAGATTGCATTAAAGCCGATCTGAAGGGACTGGGCTTGGACGGCGAACGGTGGAGGGAGGTATGTAATGAGCGATTGGTGGTGTCGGCATCGAACCTCCGGGTTCGCTAAGCCTTTTGTTATTATTAGTATATTTCAAGCCATATTTTCCAACTCTCAGAGGCCGAATGGGTCAAAGATTAGGGAGAGTTGGAAGTCATTTAAAGAATAATTAAACACCATTAGTGAATTGTAGAATGATATGGCATGAAAATGGCTTACTTGCCGAAACTTAGCCGATGGAAATTGAAATAAATGTGGTGAAGAAATAACATAACACAGCCTTATTTTTTATTATTATAAATACTTCACCTAAAACAAGTAAGAACATATGGAAGAAAAAAAATTATATTTCAGGTGATTAGACGTAAATCCTTTTGATGTTTTCACTTATATCATTTGGTCTTAAGCATAAACCGTAATTTTTTTACAATGTTAATTTTAATGTTTAGTCTATAGGAAATTTAGGCAGGACATGAGAAAAGCGTATTTCTTCTTGATTAGTTTAATAATAGGATTTTTTATTTAAATGTAAAGTTTACATTTATTGGAGCCATTTCACGAGTAATTAAAACTTGGAACTACTTATTGTTCCACGTCGTAAAGGGATTAATATCTTTTTCTCAATGTCAGCTTTTGCAGCACGAAAATCCTTCAGTCAAGATGCACTCGTCCATACCCATCGTCTTTTTCTTCTGCCTCTTCTACGTCTGCCAATGTCAAAGCGAATACTGGGAGAAAAGGTATGACGATCTACAAAAACAGATAGCTTCCTCTCTTACACGCAGTATATTGGCAACTTACAGATCGAGAAAAAACAAGGCTGCAAATAAAAGAGTGGTAGATCAGTCATCTGATGAAGAGTCCGAAGAGGTTGAATCTGTGGTAAATGCTAAAAGGAATAAGCAGAAATGGGCTATTGGGTTCCGAACGATGAAACAAACGGAAGATGTCTACCAGGATATGGTGAACAACAAGATCCCGATATGTTCGGATGATAACTTACAAGAATATAAGAATATGGTCCCGGAATCAGCCTCCAGTCGTAGAAGAAAATTGCTGAAAACGTTGAAAAGAGGAAATCAAGGTAAATTATTTAAAACAATAAAGCTTTCATTCATAATAATATAAATTCAGATAAATTATCAAAAAATAAATCCATAATAATATAACACTACTAGTTGTCCCTTGCGAACAATTCATAGAAAATTTTGTTTAGTGAAGGAATAGCAAAAAATAAGTAGACCGTGTTTATTATGTAAGGAAGGAATTAATATTTTTTCCTTGGTCGATTACAATATTCTATTTAACATAATAGACCCAAATATTTGTACAAATTGTTTTTCTATGGCCTAGGTAATAAAGACAAAACAAAGCCTCAATCACTGGATATTATGAATTAATTAAAAAAATAAAAAGTAAGAACAAACAAATATATCAGCCAGAAAAAAAAGGTTATAAGAATATTTTTTTTTTAAATTTCTTTATTGAGTATAATAACAATCTGTCTCTTGGACATTGGTTATAGTGAGGTAGGATGACATTCACACTATATGTACAAAAAAATAAAATAAATAGACCAAAATAATAATCAAAAGTATATACAATAGATAATAAAATAAAATGACCTAAAAAATAAGAAAATTAAAACTAAGAAGAAAAAAAACACATGCATACCTATATACAATCAGGCGAGGGAACTCCAGGAGAACCCTGCGCTACTCTCCCAAGCGCGTCACATAAGAATAGTTTTTAAAGAGGAAGAAATTATTAAGAATACCAAAACTAATGGACTATATCTTTGCTTTGTTAATAATTGTTCCGAATTAGCATGGGTACAATCAAGGAAAAATGCATACTTTTTAAGTTAGTCACAAATAAAGTTTCTTTTTCTTCATAGCATTTTTTTCAGAAATTTCAGGGAGATATGATTATTTTAAGCATGCAAAGGAGAAGAATATTTTCAAAATGAGTGGTCAATCATTGGATTAGACGGAGAAACGACGAATTTGCGTACTGACAAAAAAAAAAACACCTTTTAGAAATAATATATAGGATAGAAGAGCTGCGCTGAGATAGTCGTCATGGCAACGACTTCACTTTTCATTATGATGTTTTTGCCTGCTTTTAACTAAAACATTCATAACTCCTCAGGATTTTATCCTAATTCAATGTTTCTACAACCGAGCTAGAAAGCTGAATTATAGCTCTTCAAGACTGTATAACTGACTTTTTGATTTAATACGTTTATAGAGAGTAAATAAATAAAAAAATCCTAACAGGTTTTTATTTTATAATTTGATTTATAAATTATTTGGGGTAGTACAGCTCTCGATTCCGTGTAGTTAATAATAAAGTTTATATATTCCTGCAAAATCTTGTGTGAATAGGTGGAAAAAACATATTGAAGTTACCACACTTTTTGAGAAAAAATCAAAAGGATGTGGATGTCTAAGGTCAAATTTGTAGATTTTTTAAATTTATTTTTCTTTCGCAATGAGAATTCGAATTAGAGGATCTTTCGAGCTGCGAAATACCAAATTTCAACTATGTTTCTCCTTAAAAAATATTTCAACACACTTTGTTCCTTAGGTCGGTACAAATTGTTTGAATTTTACAAATTTCTAATCGATTTTAACATTTTTTTTTATAGGTAATTTAGTAATCTTTCTAATTATCGTGGGTACCATAAAGAAAAAATTCATACTTCTTGAGTTATTCGCAAATAAAGTTTCTTTTCCTTCATAACTTTGTTTCCAGAAATTTCGGGAGATAGAACTATTTTTCGCTATTTTTAGGACTATCTTCAAAATGAGTGGTCAATCATTCAATTTGATGAAGAATTGACGAAGTTATGGCGTACGGACAAAAAAATACCTTTTAGAAATAATATATAGGGTAATACAAAATTAATATAAAAGAAATAATGTGAGAATTCAGATTAGATTGCTATCATTCTTCCCTCATTCACAGGCCATCCATTCTGCTTGGGGACGATGGGACGCTAACCAGGCTCAGGAGTTAATACTATCCATAAAATTATAAATGATAATCCGCATATATTATTACAGTAAGACTCCAAATCGGTTTTGTACCAAATATAAGCTCCTGTCATGCTCAAATACCATGAATGGGGTACCGTTGGATTCAGAATTTCACGGGGGTTAGCGAATCGTATTCTCCACTTTTGTTTTCTTTCTAAAATAAATAAAGTCGATACAAACATTTTGCTATGCTTCGATACTGGAACGGTGGTAGGTCTGTAGATCGATACTGGACAAATTGGATCTAGAAGATTTTGATGCGTACAGCAAGACCCGGATAGTTCCTACGGAACTACCGGATCCTGTGTCTTTAAGCCCGAAAACGTACTATTTTCGAGATAACGCAAGACATAAGGTTCGCATCCACACAACCTTACATTAATTGTAGTACTGCCATTGAATACATGTCTCATTTCGTCGACTTGAGGCCTCTATGATCGAGGGAGGGGGAGTTTATATTATTTATCGAAGGTGTTTTTGATCGGCAAGCCATATCATCGTTAATTCTTCACCAAATCTCAAGATTGAGCCACCAATTCCGAAGGCTTCCTTCTCCTTCAGGCGGACAAAATAGTCCAATCACCCCGAAAATTCAGGCAAACAATTTATAAAAGAAAACAAACTTTATTCGCGAATAACTAAAACATTAAACACTTTTCCTTCGGCTATACCCGTAATTATATAAAAGATTACTTAATTCCCTACAAAAGAAAAAAAATCATTGTAATTGTACAATTTTTAGCAAAGATACAGCTTACTGAAATTTGTAAACATGTTGGTTCCAAATGAAGATTTAAATTAATTTTTGTTTGCTTTGTAGATTATATTTATCGATGAAGTAACATTTCTTTATCTTTTAATATGTTGCATTATTTTATTTTCTTATTAATCTGGTATTTGATAACAATATGCTGTGCGAATTTTTCGCACGGGCCTACTAGTTACATAATTATCGTAAAATAAACAATATCGACAGCCACTCTGCAAAAGCCTGTAAGGACAATTTATTTGTAAAATGAGGTTTTTAGCTTTTCTGGTCAACCTAGTCCTAGCGCATATTCTGATCCCACAAAATGAAATCTTCGATGTTTCATTTCTTCTCTATTGCATTTTGTAAACTGTAACTGAAATCCTAAAACTAAAATCCAACAAATTTTGATGTAAAAACTGTAAATAACAGTGAATGTTATTGAGATTGTATCGAAAAAAAAAAAAGGAATGAAATGTTCAATGAAAGGTGGACATGTAAATAAAGAATGTATGAAACGTTTTTCGCATAGACTACAGTATCAATTAACTTTATTAATAGGCTAAAATTAATTTCTTTCTAACGCTTTGTATTCTTTTTTTAAATTTGTAATTAATGGCGGACACTTCCTCCCCGGTTCCTCTGGGCAAATTCCCGCTTTCCCCTGCTTACAATGGAACTAAAAGAAACAAAGAAGAATGTGGTGGGAATATAATCTTAAACGGTCTTTAAATCAATCGAAACCTCCTGGACACTACAAAATGAGCTTGACTACAAAAAAGCAACAATGGCGCCGAATTCCAGATAGTGAGAGACAGATAATTTCATTAATTGGCAAATTTAACCCAACAAGAAAAAAGAACATTAGTTTCATCTTTTGAAACCAATGAGTCTTCGAATTGACCGAATCATCGCCAGGTTACTTAGAAATTACCAAGAAGTCCTACAATTCATAACCATTTATAAGTTAAGTATTCAGATGTACTTTAAAATTTCTATAGGCATATATGAGTCTTTCAGTTGGCAAAATGACTAACTCCAATTTCAAAATTCATCGATATTAATTTCAGTGATGTTTCTAGTGGCAAAATGTATACCTTTATTCACAGTTCTATATTTCAACACTGCAATCACCTATTCTGGACTTACTCACTGTCTGTATAGATACAACTTTTTGAAATAGAAATATCACTAAAATGACATTTCTCAAAAATGGAGTTAGTCATTCTGTGAACTGCAAGGCACACATTGAAAAGATAATAAAGTTATGTGGATTATAAAAACAGATGGAGTGACTAGATTTTTATTGTCAACCATCGACATAATAAATGGAGTTTTTGAAATTTTTTTGGTCTTAATGATTTGTTATCTATAAGTCGTAAGCTTTATCTCAGTAAAAATGCAATTCAAAAATTTTATAATAGCCCAACATGGACAGAAAATAAATTATATTCAAAGTTGAGCGGTAAGTGAAGGCTGAGTGTTGCGTGCACCAGATTTTTCATTATAGTTTCACCAGAAATATAACTTATTAATTCTTTTTTCTTTTTTTCTGGGAAGTTGTCTATTTAATTTAGTTGTTTGGCAATAATAACATCACCAACAAAAAAGATAAAATAGAACCAATAAACAAGAAAAATGTAATAAATAAATTAAACTATCAAAACCGCCCCAAAATCTGCATTGGTGAAACATCCAAACAATTAGGAACTAGAATCTCACAACATATCACCAACTGTAAAAATACAAAAAACATAAACACAACAGCCTTAGCACATCACAGTATAAAAGTACAACATAAATTTAACTTTAACAAACCACAAATAATAGGCAGAGAACCAAAAAAACACCAAGAGAAAATTACTGAAACAAGATACATTACAAAAAACAACAGAACAACAGTCAACTACAAAACAGACACTAAACATTTAGGAACCCATTATACAGACATATTAAACAAAATTAAAATTTAATAGAAATGAAATCACAGACACATAAAATAAACATTAACAACAATAGTATAAAAATATTCAGATAAAACAGTCAGATCCAAAGGTCAATTTTTCACTATGGCAGAAACCCAATTATTGGTCAAAAGGAGGATGTTGCTCTAGATGATAAATTTTAGAACATAAATTAGAAAATTGACAATGGAGCACATTATTATTATTATTAAATTTAAGGTAATTACAAATTTATTGTAACAAATATAATTCAAATATGTAATGTAACAAGCACAATATTGTAACTTAAAAAATGTTTAGCCTTGCATCCACAAGAGTATTGGGATTGCAG